CTTTAGAGACCTTGGGTCACTGTCAGGATCTGGAATTTTCTGTCTGATATTATAAACTTTTTAGTTAACATTTTAAATGCTATATTCTGTCTGCCTAGGTAAATCTAGCAACTTAATTTATAAGAATGGCTAGTAACTTGTATTTTTTAACATCTTATAACAGGTTAGCAACTTTTATAAAATTAAGACTTTATATTGTCAGGTTTACCTTTAATCAATGTAAACATCTGACATAAAGGTGGTCTTAGGCTACCCTTATAAAAGAGTTTTGTTTTTAAAACTCTAAAGAATTGAGACCCATGGGCTTAGAAGTTATTTTAAGCCCTTTGTTAAACTTAGGTCATTGTGTTACGTCTATAAAGTGAGAGTTTTTTTCTCTCTGTGGAAGAGGGACATGGAAAAAGACTGACATGGTGCAATCAATTCTCCAGTGTCCTGTAGCCTGTCCACAGTCTAAGCCCCATCCTGCCTGGCAGCAGGTACAGCATCTGAGTATCATGCTCATTGGTCAGCGTTGTCACAATCCATGGAGCCCCATAATCTTCTTTAGAGACCTTGGGTCACTGTCAGGATCTGGAATTTTCTGTCTGATATTATAAACTTTTTAGTTAACATTTTAAATGCTATATTCTGTAGATCTCTGTAGTATTAGAAGTCTGCCTAGGTAAATCTGGCAACTTGTTAATTTATAAGAATGGCTAGTAACTTGTATTTTTTAACATCTTATAACAGGTTAGCAACTTTTATAAAATTAAGACTTTATATTGTCAGGTTTACCTTTAATCAATGTAAACATCTGACATAAAGGTGGTCTTAGGCTACACTTATAAAAGAGTTTTGTTTTTAAATTTTTAAAGAATTGAGGCTTAGAAGTTATTTTAAGCCCTTTGTTAAACTTAGGTCATTGTGTTACTGTACCATAAGAAATAAACAGCTCAATTTTTTTATTAACATATGGAACTTATGACTGTGATCTTAAATTTTAGCTCTTTTGATTTAAGCACAAATATTAACAATATAACAGAAGCATAAATATCTTCTAACCTTATAAATTTGAACAATTAAAAATCTTTTAACGTCTTTTGTAAGAGTATCAAAAATAAAGTACCCTTGATGTGTTTAAAATCATTATCATCTGGGTAACTATTAAATTTATGTTGTCAATTCCCAGTGTTACTAGTTTTAACTTTTTGACAGATTTAACCATGAAACAGTTTTAATATTATCTTTATTAAAAAGACATCTGAATTCCTGATAACCCAAATTTAATGACTAGAGCTCGGAGATAAATTCTGAGCTATATCCATAAATGATTGGCTGTTGTTAGCATTAGACAGCAAAAATATTTAAATTATTTTTGTTTTGGCTTTTGGCTTATAATAAAATTTACATTTATATCAGAAAACACTGATAGAACCTTTTAACAAGTATACAGAATTAGTTTTTAAAACTTTTAAACAGAATTAACCGGATGTGGTCAATATTTTTAACCTGTATTACTATTATAAATAGATATAAGAGCCCATAGTAAACAGTTTACATTCTTTTTTTGACACTTTTATGACTTTCTTTTGACCCTCTTTAAATTTTTATTATTTTTTGCTCTTTTTTGATTCTCTTAGACCTCCCCATCTTAGACAAACCTGGTCGAGGAGTCCATAGGGTCCAGAATCGAACACTTTTTCTTTTAACTGTAAAATAATTTTAAGATTAAAAGAACTGTCCCGAGGCCAGCCAACATTAAAAAAAAAAAAAAAATGTTGGCCACTCAGAACTGTAGAAAGTTTGCCATTTTACTTCTTGATGTCCAGAGGCTGGTTGTTGGCTCGGTCCCAAACGTCTCCCCAATGGTCTAGAGTCAAACTTAAGGGAGTTGTTAGTTGTTGTCCCATGGTGGTCAGATGGTGAAAAACAAAAAGAGACAAAGAGACAAACACTGAGACAGACAGTCAGGCCAAACAACAAAGGCCGCTGGGCTGCAAATCCGTGCCAAACCGAAACCACAAATTCAAACGGGAGCGGAGACTTGCGTTGTCCGCTCCCAGGGATGAAGGTTGCCTGCTCGCCCTCGCCCACCCAAACTTCCCGTGGATCGTCCTCCAGGGGCGGACTCAGAGGGGAATGACTCGTCAGTCTACCTTGTTAGTCTCTACAAAGCCTGCATAGCCTATACAGGGCTTCCAAATAGACAAACAGAAAACATAAATCCAAATAAGCCGGCCTGACTTACCTCCTCTTAGTCGCGGTAATGAGTCTGGGGTCTCCTCTGATCTCCTGGCTGGCTCACCAAATGAAAGATCCCCAGGCTCCTAAGGGGCACAGGATCCCGAGGAGCCACCGAGACTCAGAAACCAGACCAAGAGCTGCAAAAGCAAGACGGTTTATTGAACAAATGCTCATTTGGGTGTCAGCAATATCAGGAAAGCTGCACACCCCAGCATGGGGTGCAAGCTCCTTATATAGGAAAAAACTGCAGATCAGCATACAGGCAAGGGGCACAAAGTGATTGATTACAAAGTATGATCTCATGTTAGAGTGTTCACCCAGGTGTGACCTGCTTTTCTAAGAAGGAAAAACCACAGAATGTACCCTGAAAAGTCCTTGATTGTCTGTTGGCCAGCCAGGTGTGACCCAAAGAGGGTTGTCCTGGCGATCGCCCCCATCTAAACCATAGGATGTGCCCGGGGTTGGGACCAGCTTCCTTGTAATGGGCCAAGGCCCGTGGGAAACTTTTTCTCTCTGTGAACTAAAATCTTTCAAAACTTTTTCTCTCAGCAAACTAAAATCTTTCACTAGTTCCAGGACAGGCTCCAAAGCTAAAGAGAAACCCTGTCTCAAAAAACAAAAAACAAAAACAAAATGCTAATGAGAAAGGAATGACTGCTGCAGAGAGACATTAGATAGAAACAAAACAAAACAAAACAACCATCATGTTAAAAGAAAAATCCAAAATCTGTCTCATGTCAGAAGAGCCACCTGGTATTGGACAGAAGAAAAAAAAAATTAAGGGACTATTCTATTGTCACTTGTCTTATAATCCTTTGATTTTTATTTTGACTCTTTAAAACTTTTCTTAAGGTATAAACATTATCTCAAATTTATAATATATATATTTAAACTTTCTGTCATAATATTAATGGTCATATAGAGTACTAACTAATCCTATAAATAGGCTTCATCTAGCTTCCTGTACATGATTTTCAGTTTGAGTTTGAATAAGGTAACTAGGAATTAAGCTTGTGTACATTGGATGTATTTAATAGATTGTGGTCCTTTAACCTCTCCAAGATATCTGCTGCATATATCATTATAAATGGTTAAGTTTTCTGCAGTGAACTGTGACCATTCCTAACAGTAACATTGAACTCTCCAAAAGGATGTTGGGGCCCCACAATGATTCTACCTGGATTGTGGTAACACCCTTAAGATGGTAAACACCACCAATGATCAGCTCTAGACTACAAACTGCTCAGGACAGTTTCAAGGTGCTTAGCTGAGATGGTCCAGCCTCACAGATTACTCCAGCTAGGACTTCAATTGTTCTTATTATTTGTAGTTTTACTGTGTTAGAGTTAAAACCTTCACTTTTTATTTAGACAAAAAGGAGGAAATGTTGTGGGATAGTTTGATTAGACTCTGATACTTCCAAAAATTACCAATAAAGTTTACTTTGAATCAAAGGTTAGAGCTAGCTACTGGCTGACCAAAATTAGCCATAGAGGTTTTAGAGGACTAAGGACATGTAGAGAGAGACAGGAGGGACTTAGAAAGATTTTTGGCCCTTTTGGATTGAGGAAAGAAAGAGGTCATTGATCACTTCGCCGCTTCTCTAGTCATTCATATTCTTACCCTGATATCTGACTCCCAAATTTTTATTGATGAAGAATAATTAGACAAACGCTTCAATATCCCATAGGATAAATACATGCTATGGCATAAAATGAGTCGAAATAAACTTTAAAAGATGAAAACAAAATATAGAATGTTTACTACTCACAACAATATTAAGTTAGAAGTCAGTGAAGAACTAGCTGGAGATATTGCTTGATTGCAGCCTGGTTGCCTGGAAAGAGCAATGCCCCAGATTTAATCTCTATCACCACTAAAATAAAACAGAAAAGAAAAGAAATCTGGTTCTAAAAATAAGGTTTGCTTAGTGTAATCATAATTTTGAAGTGAGCCTAGGCTACATATTGATTTAAGGTCAGCCTTAGTTACATAGTAAGACCTGATCTGAAAAATAAGATTAAATAAATAATTAAGCAGTTAATTTTAAACAGAGCAAGGCATGATGGTGCATGCCTATAATCCCAGCATTCAAGGAGGCTGAGGCAAGTTGAATCCAGTCTAAGCTATTTAGTGAGAGCCTGTCTTAAAAACAAACAAACTGGGCTAAGAGAGATGACTCAGAAGTCAAAGAGCTGTTGCTGCTGTTGCAGAGACATGGGTTCTATTCCCAGCACACATCTCAGATGACTTCACAACTGCCTATAACCCCAGCCCCAGGGATCCGACCCTCTCTTCTGGCCTCCCTGTACACACCCACACCCAGACATTTATTGGCAAATTGTCTTAGAGAAGGAAAACTACTTGGGGAGAATCACACACACACACACACACACACACACACACACACACAAAATCAGAAGTATAAAAGAAAGAGAAACCTTCCTATGTAAATTCCCAGACAAAGGAGAGTGCCCATCCTGTTTCTACAGTCAAATCAAGCAGAACAAAGAGGAAAGCATGGGTTTACACTGCAGGAAGTTGCATGCGCACACGAGCGTGTGTGTGTGTGTGTGTGTGTGTGTGTGTGTGTGTGTGTGTGTGTGTGTGTGTGTGTTGCCTGTGTCACAGGGAAATCATATGTAAACGCACAGTGGAGTGACTGGGGGAGGAGGGGCACAGGACAGCATCTCATCAGATTTGACTCTGGCTCGTTTGGAGCCGATACTAACCTGCCGAAGAAAATCCCTAGGACTGCTTGGCCTTGGCTGTGTAGTTGCCAAGGAGGGGAACTATCAAATAGCTCGTGAGAGTTTTTCCTCCTCACAGGCCACTCATGTGTACAACTTCCTTATCAGACTTACATATTCTCCATGTGAGAACAGCAAGGCATCCCCCGCCCCTCGGCCTCCCCTTGGAACCACTGCCTCATGGAGGGAATGCATTCAGGAGGCAAGTACTAGCTGGGAAAACTCCGGAACACAAGCCCAAAGATAGACCTCACACCAGTGTTCAGCTCCCTTACTCATTTACTGTGTGTATCAGGAAGAACGGGCTCGTTTGTTTGTGTTCAAATATAATTTTGGGTCTCTGATAAGAACCAACCCCATTTCCGGGTAGTTACCACAAGAACGTGGAGCCAGGCTTGAATGGGCGGGTCAGAGCACACAGGGAAGGAGATTCTCCAGGTAGCAACTGCCATCAGATTATCCCGTCAGATACGCTGACCTGGTGAGTCAGCGACATCTAGTGGACTCACTGAGCATCACTGGGAATCCAAAGTCAAAGGGTTTAAGGCTCCAGTGTGATACTATAGTATTCTTCTCCATGCATTGTATTAATTCTGGAAAAGTAAAGCCCCCACTGACTTGCTGACGTTTAAATTCATAAATTAACAGGAATCCTATTAGTGACACTCAAATTAATTGATGTGGTGTCCCCAGCCACACTGACTTTTATAATTACACTCTACAAATTAGTTAGATTTTACTGTAGCGTTTCTCTAAGGACCTGTAATGTTCTATTTCCATCTACAGTTGTGGCCTGTTTGCTTCTCATCAGACATTGCTGCATTGATCAAATTGCAGTAAGGCTTGTATGAGAGGTAACTTTAAGACAGTTAACACTGTGGGGCGTTGGTGGCACACACCTTTAATCCCAGCACTCGGGAGGCAGAGGCAGGCGGATCTCTGTGAGTTCGAGGCCAGCCTGCTCTCCAGAGCGAGTGCCAGGACAGGCTCCAAAGCTACACAGAGAAACCCTGTCTCGAAAAAAATAATCAACAACAAAAATACAAAACAAAACAAAAAAAGGCGGTTAACACTTCCAGCACATAGTTATTGACTAGAAGGTCCCAGGCACAGCGCTGGACTCCAGCTCACACAGTCGCTACTCTCAAGACGTTTGCCAATGGGTGGGAGAGTAGCCAAGAAGCAACTAAAAATGTTAACAAGATGAGGTCAGAGAAACCTGTCATTTTAATTGGTAATATGAGAAGGGAAGGGAGGAGTGGGGAATAAATAGGCCATCAACCATCTCTTAAAGGTGCTATTTGAGAGCCAAACAGGGAGTAGTTTTCCCCTGATAAAATTTGTTGTGTATTGTTTTGATTTTTTGAGGCGACTCACTCTATAATCCAGACTGACTTCTAACTTGCAGCAGTCTCCCAAACACGGCCTCCCAGTGCTGTGATTATAGGCATGACCCACCAGGCCTGGCTACTGAAATTTGTTTAAAATGAAAACAAAACCCAACAGACATGGTAGTATACACCTTTAATCCCAGCACTTGGGATCTCTGTGAGTTTGAGACCAGCCTGGTCTACATAGTAAGTTCCAAGCCAGGAAGTCTTACTACACAGTGATAAACTGTCTCAAAAACAAGGCTAGAGAGATGATTCATGGGTTAAGAGAACTGGATTCTTCCAGAGGACCTGGCTTCGAGTCCCATCTTCCAGAAGGCAGCTCACAGCCATCTGTAACTCCAGTTCTGAGGGATCTGACAGCCTCTTCTGGGCTCCTCAGGCACTGCACACATATACATAGACATACATACAGACAAAACACCCATATACATAAAACAAAAACACTTTTCAAAAAATAAATAAATCTAAAAACAAAACCCAAAACCATCATGGGAGCCAGCCTGACTGAGCATGGTAGTAAACACTTTTTTTTTTTTTTTTTTTTTTTTAAATCTCTTTTTTTTTTTTTTTTTTTTTTTTAAATCCAGGGTTTCTCTGTAGCTTCGGAGCCTGGAACTCGATCTGTAGACCAGACTGGCCTTGAACTCACAAGAGATCTTCCTGCCTCTGTTACCTGAGTGCTGGGATTAGAGGCATGTGCCACCACTACCCAGATGAAGCCAGCACCCTTAACCTCCAAGCCATCTCTCGAGTTTCTAAAACGTCTCCCTAAGTCTTTTTTAAAAACTCTGCGGGACTCCTCCAGTTTCTGCCTTCAGATCCAATGAATGCCGGAGCTCTGTTAGGAAAGCAGCAGCATTCCCTGGTTCTTCTGTCATTTCTTTAACTCTGAACATCCCTGGGATGCTTCTGAAGGTTAATCAGGGTACCAAAAATCTAGAAAACAGTGAAGGTATCACCAGGCATGGTGGCTCAGTGTCCTGGTTCATTTTTTGTCAACTTGACACAAACTAGATCACCTGGAAAGAGAAATCTAAACTGAGAAAATGCCCTCACCGGATGGTTTGGAGGCAGGACTATGGGGCATCTTCTTGACTGATTATTGATTACTTATCTATTCTATTTTAATCCTCGAGTCCTGGGAAGGAGACCCTGGGTAGTGTAAGAAAGCAAACTGAGCAAGCCATGGAGACCAAAGTCAATAATCGGTGTTTTTAGTGGTCTGTTTCAGTCCTGCCTCCAGGTTCTTGTCTTGGGTTTCTGTCCTGATTTCCCTCAGTGATAGGCAGTGATGTGAAAGCTTAAGTCAAATAAACCCTTTCTCCCCATGGCAATGAATGATATGAGAAGGCAAAGTTAAGACACTCAGCATTGTAAGGCTGAGGCAGGATGGGGAACTCAGCAATATGCCCTCAGCTACCCAGGCAGTTTGAGGCCAGGCTGGAGTGGCTACATGAGACTCTCTTTAAAAGTCAACAATAAAGACAAGAGGAAAGTGGAAAGATAGTACTGAGATGACAAACCTGAAAGTCTGCTCCAAAGTTTCCTCCCATATAGCTCAGGCTTGAGACCCCATGGCAATTAAGACTGCCAGTCCCATTAGCTGTTTATCCTATCATCACTGTGGACCAAGCAACCAACTTTCCACAGATCATTTTCCATCTTTTCCTGATGATATTAAGAGGTATAGCATGAACCAGGTGTGGTGGCAGACATCTGAAATCCCAGATCTTGGGAGGTAGAGGAAACAGGTTCAGGAGCTCGAGGTCAACCTCAGCTATACAGTTAACTCAAGGTCAGCCTGGATTATATGAGACCATCTCAGATAGAAAGATAGATAGATAGATAGATAGATAGATAGATAGATAGATAGATAGATAGACAGACAGACAGATAGACAAGGCCAGCCTGGGTTATATGAGACCATCTCAAATAAATAAATAAATAAATAAATATTTTAAAAAGCAAGGGACTGAAGAAATGGTTCAGCAATTAAAAATATGTTGCTCCAGCTGGAGAGATGGCTCAGAGATTAAGAGCACTGACTGCTCTTCCAGAGGTCCTGAGTTCAATTCCCAGCAACCACATGGCTCACAACCATCTGTAATGAGATCTGGTGCCCTCTTCTGGTGTGCAGATATACAGGGAAGCAGAATGTTGTATACATAATAAATAAAATCTTAAAAAAAAAAAAAGAATATGTTGCTCTTGCAGAGGATCTGGGTTGGATTCCCAGCACCTACTTGATAGCTCACAATTATCTGTAACTCCAGTTTCAGGAGATCTGTAATTAGTGTGCAGGCAAAACAGTCACACACATTGTATTAGTCAGGGTTTTCTAGAGGAACAGAACTGATAGAATGGAGATTATATAAGGAACTATACGTCATACATTCCCTTAGTGGTAAGAGCACTTTTACTGCTCTTTCAGACAGCCTGGGTTCAGTTTGCAGCACCCATATGGTGGTCAATAACTGTCCTTAATTCCAGTTCCAGGGGATTCAATGCTCTCTTCTGATGCCCTCGGGCACCAGGCATGCACTGTGGTGCACACATATACATGCAGGGAAAACACTCACATAAACAAAATAATAATGTTAAATAAAACCATTTGTAAAAAATGCTCTGGTAGAGGACCCAAGTTTGGTTCTCAGCACCCATACTGGGCAGCTCACACCACCTGTAACTTCAGCTCGAGACTCCAACACACTCTAGACTGTGGGGACGCCTGCATCCACAGGCGTTGTGTCTGTGTGACACACACAGTCTAAATATTAACAGCGAAGTGGTGGTGCACTCCTTTAATCCCAGCACATGGGAGGTAGAGGCAGGAGGATCACTGAGTTCAAGGCCAGACCAGTTTATAGAGTAAATTCCAGGACAGCCAGGACTACATGAGAAACCCTGTCTCAAAAAAACCCAAAACAAAACACAAACGTAATGCCTTTGTTGTCTAATCTGGCAGTAGGACCTGTCAGTTTCCTTGGTGAGTCCTCAAAGTGAACGGGGCTGGGGGATAAGTCCCTTTGGTTTTTGTTCTGCTGCCTTTGCGTATTGCCCCCCACCACTGCCCCCATATGATTGACATAACCTTAAGTTTCACTGAGCAAATCTAGGAAAATATCAGTGTAGTTTCAAAAGCTCATACAATTCAACAAAGTTCATACACAAAGGATCCGGATGGCTGGTATAAAATATTCCACATGGATAATAATCACATTATGATTGACTAAATGAATATTAAAAGCTTTCATATGTAAAATTGGATGGGCAGCTCTTATTTTTTAAAATGTATCCAGAGAAGTAGGGAGATGGTTAAACCCTTGCCATGTGTGAGAACTGGAGTTTGGATCCCCAAATTCATGTAAATGCCCAGAGGGCATGGTGACTTGCACACAGTACTCCCCACTCCATGCACACACACAGGCCAAAACATATATGTATCCATACACATGTACAGCATACACTTGCAAATGGAAGAGAAAAAATATATAGCAAGAATATGTATATGTGGCTCTACATTACTTTCATAATACATTTTTATGAGAAAAAAAAAGGTAGTCCCATTTCTACTTTAAATTTTTTAGAAATAGTTTTATTATGCAATTTGTCTTTATGTTTGTCTGTGCACCACACTCATGCCTAGTGCAGAAGAGGCTGCACTGGGTCTCCCAGAACTGGAGTCATAAATAGAAACCACCACATAGGTTCTGGGAAATCAAACCCAGGTCCTCTGCAAGAGCAGACGGTCCTCTTAACTACTGAGCCGTCTCTCCAGCCCCTTACAAAGAATAATTAAGAGGGCTGGAGAGAAGTCAGTATGAAGACTTGAGTTCAGACCACAGAACCCATATAAAGATCAGGTCTCCTAGCACTGGCTATAACCAATGCTGGGGTAGACATGGGGATTCACACTGAGCTTAAGGGCTCAGCAGCCTAGCCAGCTGAGTATGGTGACCAAGGCTACAGGAGACCCTTTCTCAGTACACCAAACAGCGCATATGTATATGGCTGTGTAAGTGCATGGGGAGGGCACAGGGGACGAGCCTGAAATCCCAGCACCTGGAAAGCAAAGGCATCGGGTCCAGACCCATCAATACACAAAAAGATGGAGAGCCAGGCCGGGTGTTGGTGGCGCACGCCTTTAATCCCAGCACTCGGGAGGCAGAAGCAGGGGATCTCTGTGAGTTTGAGGCCAGCCTGGTCTCCAGAGCGAGTGCCAGGATAGGCTCCAAAGCTACACAGAGAAACCCTGTCTGGAGGGCAGGGGGAGATAGAGGGCCAGTTAGATGACTTGGGGGTAGAGACCTTGCCATTTAAATCTCACCACCTGAGTTTTATCTCTAAAGCTACACAAAAGTGGAAGCAGAAAAGTAACTCCAAAGAGTCCATCAGATCACTATATCCCCAAATCCACTTAATAATTAATGAGATCAGTATTAAATAATGACTTTTTGAATTTTGTATTAAAGGGGCTGGAGAGCCAGGTAGTGGCGGCGGCACACACCTTTAATCCCAGGATTTGGGAGGCAGGCGATCTGAGTTCGAGGCCAGCCCGGTCTACAAAGTGAGTTCCAAGATGGACTCCAAAGCTACACAGAAAACCCTGTCCTGAAAAACAAAAACAAAACAAAAAAAGGGAGTGTGAACTTTTTGTGGTAGTTCTAGGCAGTCTTTGCTAAGCATACCAATCCTGCTTCAGCCTCCTGAGAGCTGAGGTAGAGTGCACTGTTGAGCCCAGCTGCCAACTATCCCTTCTAAGAAGTGAGGTTTTATTCTGAAGTTAGCTAGCTCTAGCAGCTGCCATTCCCCTCTCCCCTTCACTTGTGCTGGGGATCTTTTCAAACTCTTGGTAACTCTGGAAGGTTGTAGATCCCCTGAAATGGGAGTTAGGGATTGTTGTGAGCTACCATGTAGGTTCTAGGAATTTTGAACTCTGGTTACTGCAAGAGGCATCTGTGTCTGCAACCCCAGAACCCAGGATCTTCTAAGTATTTTTTTATGTATAGGGATGTTTGCATGTACCTCATCTGCACACCAGAAGTCATCTGATCCCATGAGACTATATCTAAATAGTTGTGAGTCTCCACATGGGTGCTAGGAATTGAACTCAGGACTTCTGAAAGAGTAGCCAGTACTCCTAACTGCTGAGCCATCTCTCCAGCACCCCCAGATCTTATCTAGGTTAGACAAGTACCCTACCACAGAACTCATCCTCCGTCTTTTTTTTAATCTTAAAAACAGCAACAGCCGGGCATTGGTGGTACACACCTTTAATCACAGTACTCAGGAGGCAGAGAGGCAGGTGGATCTCTGAGTTCAAGGCCACCCTGGTCTCCAGAGTGAGTTCCAGGACAGCCTCCAAAGCAATACAGAGAAACCCTGTCTCCAAAAACAAAAACAAAAAAACCCAGCAACAAAATAAACAAGCCTTGTGTGTGTGTAGGAAGCTTTTCTCTGTGTTTGCTCAGTGGATGCCCAGAGCTGGAGTTAACAAGCGGTTGTAAGCTGCCTTGGGTCCTCTGGAAGCACAGTAGGTACTTTAACTCTTGAGCCATCTCTCCAGCTCTCCCCCCTTTTTTTTCTGGTCTTTTTGAGACAGGGTTTCTCTGTAACAGTCCTGGCTGTCCTTGATTTGTAGACCAGGCTGGCCTTGAACTCAGAGATCTCCTGCCTCTGCCTCCCAAATCCTAGGATTAAAGGCATTCAACACCACTGGCATCTGGCAAAGTTCACACTTTTTCTTCTGTGTTTTTCCAGACAGGGTTTCTCTGTGGCTTGGAGGCTGTCCTGGAAAACTAGCTCTTATAGACCAAGCTGGTCTCAAACTCACAGAGATCCACCTGCCTCTGCCTCCCAAGTGCTAGGACTAAAGGCGTGCACTTAACCCCCCCCCCACCAAAGTTCACTCTCTTTTAATATCCAGCTTGTCCTATCACTAAGACAGTACCTTTCAACTGCATTTCTGCTCCCCACTTTGTCCCCTCAACTAGCCAAGAAGCCACTTTTTATCTAACTCAGATGTTTATTCAGGTCGCCTACAGTACCTTCTGCAAACTAATTTAACTCTGAAAACCCTGTCCTATAATACCAAAACCAATGTAAAAGGATACATAAAAATATCATAGCATTTAGTAATTGCAAATATATTTATTACAATTTACAGATTAGTTAATAATCACATACAAATATAATCTGAGCTATAAAATCTCCACTAGTTACAGTTAAAACCAAGGATCTGAAGAAGCCAACTCAAAAGTCTTGTTCCCAAACTTCACCTTCCTTAAAATTATAAAAAATAGAATCTGACAGTTCTGATTTCAAGTTACAGATGAAGGGCTGCCCCACTGAGCACTCAGAAGTAGGGACCCCTGTCTGTACAGAGCCTCTCTCTCACATGCTACACAGATCTTTAAAGCACCATTGCAAGACATGAACGTGTAAAATATTCAGCTAAAACCTCCATGCCTAGCCTTGCCTTGGAGGTTTTCTTTCCTGGGGAGGGGCCTTAACATCTGGACTGGGATGACAATGACAATAATTTTGCTCTTCTCCTTCAATTTGTAAAGATCCTTTTGTCCTTGCCACCATCTGACCATGTCTGTATGTAGGCAGGCAGTGTGCCAGAATGTTTTAACCAGTCATTTACTCATTAGATAGTGAAGGTGGAAACTGGAACAATTTGCAAACACCCAATGAATGTACAGATAGATATCCCATTCCTTTGCTGGGTCTCAGAAACACATCACACCTACATGTCTGAAGTCAAATGCTAAGCTGCAGTCTGGTTTTAAAAGAATGTCGATGTATTGTCACAGTTTTCCTTGTCAACATGTCTGCTTTCCAAATGACACAGCTTCTAACTAGCCTATTTCCACAGCGCTATACCAGACTGCAATGCACTCTGGGGTTCACTAAACCCAAGTGCACAAACTATACAGAATGAGGGTTCTGCAAAACGAAGACCAACTTTTCTGGTGCTGTATTCTTAGTGTGTGAATGAATATTGTCACCACTGGGGCAGACCTTAGAGTATGTCCAACGGAAATAACCAGGGAGATTATAAACTGAGGTAGTTATGCTGCCAGCTCTTCTGGGAAAATGCATCCCCACTATCAATTTAGCAGACCTCTCTTTTGTATGTGTTCCCGCTATGCCATGACAGGAGGCACACAGTAAGAACTGACCACTAAAGAGGTGATTAAACATACCTCAACCTAGCATGCACACAGCAGATAAAGCTAACCGAATAAACCAGGCATACTAATCAAAAGCAAGCCTTGGGTAAGACACTAAGACTTCCTGACTGTTCTAGCTATACTTTTCCTCAAAGTGCAGGCCTCACCATTGCATCTCTGTAAAATAGAACACAATAAACCTGGACATTGAAATTTGTATCTGACCATTTCACACTTAAAAATTCACAACTGCCCAATCCAAGTTTACAGTGTCACCATGACAGGTTTTAAAAGTGACAGTGCTGAGGCAGAGTATAAGTAACACTGGCTTTCTGAAAAGAGTACATTAAACAAAACTGAATTTCTGAGATGTCTGCATATTCCTCCTAGGAAAATTCTAGGCTTTTAAGTTTAAAAACAGAATGCCTAGAATGCCTACAATGCAATGATTACTTCCTAGAGTGCTTTACAATTCCTACCCACTGAAAGCTAAAGAGCCACATTCAACTGGAACTACAGAGAAACATTCCAAATGGACAGTTTGCAAAGAATACGCTGGATGTTAAAGTTTGGCAGACCAGATGGGCATCACAGTGTACGTCTTTAAAAAGCACGCTAACACAGCTTTCCCAGTCAAGAAAGTACTGCACTTGTGGGTTTGTGGTGGTCCTTGGAAATATCTTAAATAGACCTAGATACAGAAAAAAAAATCTGGATGTGTGGCACACACATATGCAATCCTAGCAAGAGAACAAGAGGATCTTTCAAAATCATCCTTGGCTAAGCAGTGTAGCCTAGGCCACACAAGACTAATTTTTTAAATTAAGAAAAAAAAAAAGGGGGGGGTAGTGGGGGGGAGGAAAACCCAAGTGATACAACAATGTCTTAAGTTGGTAACAAGTACAATAGGTTTTAGCCTTAAGGTAAATATGTCAAATCTATGAAAATGGAAAAAAGTGCAAGCATAGCTGATATATATATGTACATACATATATATATATATATGTACATACATACATATATATATGTACGTACATACATACATACATACATACATATGTACGTACGTACGTACATACATACATACATACATACATATATGTACACTCAGGTTAAAGCAAGAGGATTGCCATGAGCTCAAGGTTACATTAAGACCTGTGCCTCAATCTCACCTCAAAATATACAAACACATATACATATATACAGAAAAACAAAAGCCCATTCATTTTAGAATAGGAAAAGCACACAAGAGCCCAAAGTTTTCAGATAGGCTTGCATAATTTAAATTAGAACTGAATATGCAGTACTGGGGATTGAACCTAGAGCCTTGCACAAGTAGGCAAGTGCCCTCTGCTGTTTCAATATCCCAGCCTCCTTTTCCATTTTCATTTTAAGATTAAGACCCACACTGGCCTTGAATTCACTATGTAGCCCAGGCAGACCTTGAATTTTCTCTCCTCCTGCCTCAGTCTCCAAAGTAACTGTAATTACAGGCCTGTGAAGAAACTTTTCTACACCAGGCATGGTGGCACAGGCCTTTAATCCTAGTACTCAGGATGAGAAGCAGAAGCAAGTGGATCTCTGTGAGTTTGAGGCCAGTCTGGTCTACAGGGCAAGCTCTAGGCCAGCCAAGGCTACATAGAGAAACCCTATCTTGAAAAAACAAACAACCTTTTGTTTGTCCTTTAAGAGCGGGTCTCACCATGCAGCCCTGGCTGTCCTGGAGCCTGCTATCTGAGCCTGGCTATCCTCTGCCTCCAGAAGAAAAGTTTTCAAAGTGCAAAGTAACAACTTGGAGTCCCTTTTCACAACCTCAAGGAAGCAGAGGATATTTACAACCACATCCACCTGGGCACGGTGGCACAGGAAGCAAAGGAAAGGTACCAATTTTAAGACCAGCCTGGTCTACACACAAAGATCCAGGCCAGAATTATGTAGTGAGACCCTGTCTCAAAAACACAAAACCACATTCAATTAAATAGGAAGAGGATTAAAGATTTAGAGATCCTTCATTATTGGAGTTGGTGTTTCTAATGAGACACATTACCCCAAAATAATTCAACTATATCACTAGATACAAGTTGTTTCTTTAAAAACATGTCCAAGGGCTGGGCGTTGTTGGTGCAGGCCTTTAATCCCAGCACTCGGGAGGCAGAGGCAGGCAGATCTCTGAGTTCGAGGCCGGCCTGGTCTCCAGAGCGAGTGCCAGGATAGGCTCCAAAACTACACAGAGAAACCCTGTCTTGAAAAACAAAAACAAAAACAAAAAAAACATGTCCAAGGACAGGTGCCAATATTTGTTTTTAAGAGAAACCTCTCAAGCAAGAGAGTGTGTGGGCCAGGGCTGCAGACTGTTCACTAGTCTTAACATTGATGAGCAATAGTGTGTCTTCTGAAACATGTTCCTGCAGTCTATTGAACATTCGTTCCCTGTGCTCAAATGTCAAGCAGTAGCCAATGGCATCTTCTGTTTCTTGAATCCGTTTCTGGAACCTGCATCCATCCCTTGCAAATTCTTCCCATGGTCCCTTTCGATCCTCATCACCACTTATATAATACTCGGTGACTTCTTCAAGGAAAGTTACCTAGAAAGATAAACCCAATGTTAATAACTCTAGAATCTTAGAACTAACACCGACACCAAAAAGAATCTTTGTCCCCACTACACATGAAGGTAATGAAATAGCCAACAATGCTGCAAAAACAAGATGTACTTTCTTCACAAAGCTACAGATAGACTCTTCAAGCCCAATTCTTCATTTATGGTACTGAAATTCTGGATTTCCCCGTTATTAATCCAGCTATCCTTTAAGTCTTAAAGAAATACAGAAATTTAGTTTTTTAGTACTTTCCCCCCCAAATGAAAAAGTATTCAAGGAGTAACCACTACAACTCTGAAGAAGTCAAGATACCATGATCCCAGCACTAGAAGCTGAGGCAGATCAGGGGTAGAAGCCAGAATGGGTTACATGAGACCCTGTTTCAGCAGGGGGGGGGCGTGGCTTTAAAGAATGTTTAATAGTTACATCAGCTAATCCCAATGAGACCTGCAGCTTTCCTTCCCTTTACATCAGGCCTAGGAATGCCCCTGAGGACAATTAGTAGGCATGTAACACCTTACCAGATATTGCATTCTAGTGGTTACCCAGCTATGGTCACTAAGATAAATAAAATGAGCCCCTTTATACTGTTTATCAAATGCCAAACTTTTTTCAAAGAAGTTTACAAACGTTCTCATTTGATCCTCATGTCAACCCTGAGATGTGAACCAGTATTATCACCATTGTACAGACAAGGAACCAGATGCCAGTGACCAGTCTAAACCCCACAGTCTCTAAGTGGTATAACTAGGATGAAAAAGTCTACAATCTGCTGTTCTGCCAGTACACAAAGTACTTTACACTCCATGACCTCAAGGCCTCATTCTAAGAATTGGGCACTACTCATCATTCCCATAAAACTAAATAATGGCGGGTAGCCAAGGGCTGTTAAATAACTATCATATCAGTCAGTAGTCTTAAGCTAAACGAGACATGAGGTTGGCTTTAGCCATTCAAAGACATGGAAATGAATTAATTATGAGTTTTACTTACTCATTTATCTTTTGGTAACTTGGGCTGCAGGTGTAACTAGCTCAGTGGCAGGGTGCATGTTTAACATGCAACAGGTCCAGAATTAAACCCCCAGCATCACAAGACAAAACAAGTCTTGCAACACTTCTACAACAGGTCTTAGTATTCCTATTGGATAAGTAAGTGGATCACGGGGCATGGCAGTTAAAATAACTTGTCTGGTCTGGCTGTCTGCCCCTCACCCCCCCACCCCAAACACATCTCAGACCTAATGCCCCTGAGCAGAGAATGCAGGTCTGCAGAGGCCAAGTGCTCAGGTCACTACTCTACTTTGTTCCCTCTCAAAAGCATTTGCCTTTCTTGAAGAGAATAATGAGACCTGGAGATGTGGCTTAGTGGTAGACCCCTTGGTTCAGGATGCAGCAATGAATGAATGAATGAATGAATGAATGTGCTCTCATTATATCATTCTGAAATGTGAACTAAAATTTCATTTTTAGCATGACTTATATGCCTCTATAGGCAAGAGGTGAGATTACCACCATTTAGATAGTTCCTGTCCCAAGGAACACTGTCCATTTGACACTCACTGGTGGAAGTATAAGAAACTAAAGAAACAATAAAAACATCTGTGTTTGGGGGTGGCATGCTTTCTCAGTTAACACCTTCAGCTGAATAAGCAGTAAGAGAAATAAAGCAATTCAAATACCCTAAACATGAAGTAAACTTAACAATAATATAATCAAAAAGCAAACTGTCCCATGAAGTTTTAAAATTAGCCTGGAGGCTCACAGATATCCCTGAACTTCAGAGGCTAAAGCAACAGGCTCAGCATAACTTTGAGGCCAGCTTGAACTTCAGTGAGTTATAAGCCAGTCTGCAGTGAGACCTAAAAACAAAATGGGCTGAAAGTTCTGGCCAGCTCGGGACACAATGAGTTGCAGGAAAAGCCAGGAGTATTGCCTTTTTTTTTTTTTTCTTTTTGAGAAAAGATCCCACCCGTGTATTCCTGGCAAGTTTAGAACTCACTGTGTAGACCAAGCTAGACCCCAAAACTCACAAAATAATCTACCTGCAACTCCCAAGCGCTGGAATTACAGGCATATCACCACAAACAACTAGATAAACCTAACTTGCTATTTGGGTTATTATCAGTAGTATTGTATTATATAGCCCAATAATTACTAGTATTCCTTTGGGTTCCAATGGAGAGAAATAAAGACACTGTTGTCATGAAAATACATATTAAGTACTCACAAACAAAATACAAGTGAACCATTTTTATACTTCAGGACCCACCAACCTAAATGACAGCCCTGCTAACATCTGCACACTGGTGTCCTCCTTTCAGATGGTAATACTTCTCTATACTGGGAAGAAGGGTCATTTGAGTATTTCTCAATCCAAGCCCATGAGCTCAGAAGCCTCCCCCAACACTATGCACAATGCCCCCGCAGGATAAGTCATGCTGCTATAGTAACTATCAAAACACAGAAAATCACTAAGCATGTAAAAGGGAAGAAACAAACCTTTTTTCTCTTGTTATGGGTGCATGTTTCTCCAGAAAGAGCCTCACCCAGCCCATAGTCTGGACAATCTTCTTGGCTCTCTAACATTTGTACCTTACAAGAAAGTAAGGCGCTTTTTTGACACCCAGAAAAGGCCACCATGGCCTCAGAAGGTGCTTTTGAGCCCTCACAACCTTTCCAGTTTTTCCCTGAAGTTTGAAAGGGAGCCTTAAAATTTAAAAGGTTGTAGGGGTCCTCAGAATTGCAGAAAGAGTTCCACAATCTAAGATTCTCCGCTTCATCTGCACTGGATTCCCAGTCCTCTTCCTCCCCAGAACTATGCCAGGGGGTCTCAGGAAGGAGTCCAGCCTGAGAACTACTCCCTACATCGGAGTTGGCAGACAAGGGCCTCCCTGAATCACACGGGCCTCCTGGGACAACTGTGGCAGCAGTCTGAATTGTGGCTGTAAAATTTTGGGGATTGTAAGGATCTACACTGTAGAAAGAGTTCCAAAGGTGAAGCCCTTCAGAGTCCTCTTCCTCCTCTGATTCCGACAGGGAACCATCACTATCAAAGCCATCATCCTCTGCTTCCTCGTCCCAATCCTCACTTTCCTCACTTTCCGAGTCGGAGCTGGTCTCCATGTCACTGGTAGCGCCTCCCAAAATGTAATCGATCAGCTTGTTGCTACACACTGGTCTGGCGGAGACAGGAAGGTCATCTTCTACGGCTGAGCAATCAACTACACTAGTGTGGTCCTCCTCAAACTCTTTTTCCACAGGTAACCCGAAAATCGGGCTATTTTCCTGGAGGCTTTGGGAAACTTCTTGAACCAACAAGTCTGTTTTTTTCTCAGTGGGCTCTGGGCTGGCTCCAGGAGGAAATACCGTCTGTGCTGGCTTATCTGAGCAGTGTTGAGAGTCCATCCGTTGGAGAAGACTGTGTTCCTCCTCCAGGCTGTGGTAGCCATTATCTTGCTCAGGGGTGGGTAACTCTTGCCCCTTGTTAGCCTGAAGGAATTCTAGCCGTTTCATACGAAGGTGGTGGATTTCCGGCAGCCCTTCTGTAGAAAGAGGGGGACATCTCTGCCACGCGGTTGCCGAGATCTCTGCACGCAGTGGTTGGGGGTGACAACCACCTTCAAACCGGCAACAGTTCTCTGGGGGTAGTGTTCGGAAATCCACGAGTTGGCCAGCTCCAACGCTGTTCTGACAGCGCAGCTCTAGCTGGGGAAGGCAGTCCAGACAGGAATGGTTCAGCAGATAGGAAACTACCTTGAAACTGCCTACGCTCTGAGTGTCCAGAGGCCCAGCGGGAGAAGAGCCAAGTTCTCGGTGGGAGACCAGACCGGTTTGAAGACCACTGGGCAACAACTCCATTCCCCACAGCCCCTGCTCCAGGACAAAAGTGTGCGCTGTGGAGTTCAAAGCGCTTTCCTGGGCTTTCAATTTCAATTCCAGGTCTGAGGAAGAGTACTGCCATTGGAGATCCTCCTCTAGCCAATCAAACGGGCTGACACCCAAGTCTTCCGAAGAGTCCAGCTGCAGTGAACTCAAAGATTTCTGGACCGTGGGGGTGGCAGATTCCTGCCGTCCTCTCAAGGCTCTCAGGGCGCTGTGGTTTGCTACGAAATCTAGCCATCTGGTCGGAATCATGCCACCGAAAAGGTGGCTCCAAATAAACAGCTTCTGGAGCAAGTTAGGGAGCAGTGCAAACAGCTGGGAAAGCCATTTGGCCCAGTACCTGGTCCGAGGCTCGGGCAGAACGGAGTCCCCGGAGTTT